TGTATATAAACTGTATGTAGAACGTAGAAATAAATATGTATCCTCATCACTGGGTTCCCAGGCCATAAACAATTTGCAAAGTGAGGCCGCTTTGCACCCAGTTGGCACTTATTAATATTGAGTGCAATTCTGGATATTATGCATAATGCAGTACAAGGATTTACGACTCTGGTACTAGGGCAAAAGAGAAAATAGACCTCTATCAGCAGTACAAAGATTTACGACCCTTATATGCTGGAAAAAGATCGCGGGTAAGAAAAATTACTGATAATTTCAGATAGAAAGAAACAGAAAATCCAGCTCGATAGATCATGAATAATATCGAGACTTGCTCTCAATATTATTGAGTGTCAGCTGGGTGCTGTTTATGTACAGTGTATATTCAAAAATGATACAAGAATTGGAATAATATTTGTAACTTTTCAATTCCAAATCGGTAACTAATCCATCAGTCAACATTGTCAGCAATTGCTAAATTATTGTTCTAGTTTGTACAAAAGAAGTGCAATTCATATTTCCTCATCCTACTCCAATTTGTAATTAAAACTAATTTTCGGCAGCCGCGCTTCTGTTTAATTGATATTAAACAGGGAGGGGATCTTTACACATTAATGTTTAAAGGCCACCTGGCATACATTCAAAATTACAAGGCGATATGACGAAAATGGTTTTAAATATTTTTATGAAATTTTGGTGACTTAATAAGGGGGGACAAATTTTCAGATTATTTTTTTATTTTTTATTGTCTCAATTTTAAATTTTTTTAGTGAAATGTTTCAACATGAGCATTGTGAGTCTTATATATATTTCGCAAAAAAAATTCTGTTAATATCAGGTGTGGTTTAATTAGCGCCATTGTTGTTTTTAAATTAAGAAATATGCTATATGTTGTGCTTTCCCCCCAGTTCCTCGGCCCGGGTCTACTCTGCGTTTTTTTAGGCAAATTACCCTAGAAACCTGAATCTCACAGTTATCTTAAATTATTAAACACATTTAATGTTTTGTTGGCCTAAGTTTCACAAAGTAAAAATTAACATCACCATATCTTGCAATTTGACTGAACGCACTATAACGCATCGTGAGGCCCGACGACTTATTTGGTAGGTACCATTTACAGACTTCAATTAAGTTTCTTGGATGTTTTGATTACGGTTACATAACAAGCATTTCTATGAATAAATTTATTTCTATGAATAAATTTATTAAGTAGATCATTTTTTCCATTTAGAGCGACGCTTCCCATTTGCTCAAAGCTTTAACAAGACATAATTAATGTGGACTGCGCTCAAATACGAATTTCTATGTTGATAGCAATTTTGCTATTAAAATCAACCACTATGCTACGTAACAACTTCAATAGGGAATGAAAAATCGTATCGTACGGTAATAGGATTACACTTTGTTGACAATTAAACTAAACCCTAAGTGCATTCAAATTTACAGCATGTGTTTACTCAGCTGTAAAAATACAGAAATACGTTCAGAACAGGATTATGCACACATGCATGGAGTTCAGTTTTGTTTGAATGCACTACATTGTAATTGGTAAAGTTTCATAACCTGCAGTAACACGACAAACATAAAATAATTTAGAAGTTTGCCTAAGAGACAAAGCAGCCACCTACTTGCTTCTAGTGCTTCAAGTGGGATGTTAACTGCTTTTGTAACTAAGGTACGACGCAGTTTATAATCTGATACCATCCAGTTGAGGGGTCACTACATATCCTTTAGGTGTGGTTTCAAGTACCGCTTAACGTCTTCCACGTGCATGGGATTACAGCACTTTGCTTTCACATTTTAAATCAGCTTAGAGGTTCCAGATTGTTTCAAATTTAAAACCGCGACGCCACACAAGCGCTACCCCAAAATATTTAGTTCCTCGTCATTTGTTTTATAAGGAAACAACCCATCTCAACTTTATAAGAGTAAGGGTTCTTGAACTTTCTTTGGTGAACGGTTATGCCGCTTTTCCTTGTAACTTGAAACAAAATGTCCGCATTAAACTTTAAAATGAGCTGCCTTCCTCAATCCACCATTTTATGTCAGACAGGGCGCAAAAAACGCTTGCTTGCATGCGAGGACATGAGTTGACTTTTTTGGGGCACGCAAAACAAATTTTCAAAACAATATAATAAATATCCGAACGTTTATTAAAAGGGGCGTCGGACGACGCGTATTTTGCAGAAGCCTTGTTTATCTATTCAAATAAATCAATAATTTGTCCTCAAATATCCTTCGGCGAAAGTAAATATTTGCGAACCCTCGCAAGATTATATTAAGTGAACTCCTCAATATATAAATTGTAGGCTAAATAAAAATCAGAATGACGCTTTCGAAGTACGACAAAAACGTCATATTTATGCTAGTAAAAAGACGCGCGTAAATATTTTTACAGCTGTACAGTGGCTCGTATAATGCTTTTGCTTCATATTCATGAAAATTTACGGTTTTCGGGGTGTAGATGCACATCTATAGTAGTTTGATACATATTTAACAGTTGGATAGTAAAACGTTTGTATAACAAAGTTATAATTAATTTTGAGTCAAACAAATTGCCGGCTTGCTGATTGCAATTAATTTATTCGTCTGTCCAGCTTCAGGTAGTGAAGAAAAATTGACTAGTTGAGGAATTATCTAAAAAAATGATGTAATTGATAAAGGATCTATTATTATCTATTAACATAGCATTTCTTAAACATTGGGTCGCTTAAGTGATAATAGAACAATAGAAAATGTGATGGAAGGTGACAAGGAATTGAAAAGCTTAAAAACCACTTTGGGGAGTCGTCTATGCAGTGAAGATGTAATTCCACAGACAATTGGTGTGAAAGTCCTTGGAAGATATTGAACGCTATTGGAATGGAAAAGTGAAAGACCAGTAGCGAATGGTTTTGTACTTTGGAGTTATACCCATGATCAATTCGTCATCAATTACGAACTTATGGGCTTTAGAGAACATTACTATAGCAGATGCTTTTGAAAAGCTGTCAAATGACGACATAAATGACCAATGCGAGAACACCGCCAGCAGACAGTGTCTAGAGATTAATATGGTAGATATCAAGTTTCACCTTGGTTAGATCATCCACGGTTACCTCCACTGTAGCTCAAAACACGTTAGAAAGTGCAACACGGAAGTTGAAAGCAAACGAAAGGTATAATGACTTCGAACAAGTGTTCAAGCAATGGGGAAATGTTGGTGTAATAGAAGAAGTAAAAAATGAGTGATTAAATTATCAATTTTATCACACCGATCAGTGTACAAATCAGAGGGGAACATTACAAAGGTGCAACCAGACCAAATCCAAATCAATGTTTAACGAAGAATTTCACAAGAGTTTAATCCGCATCCCCCATCTTCAAGAAAATGTTTGGATCTAAAATAGCTAAAAAGAAATACAACGCGCGATTCATGACTGCATTAAGTATAGGAGCTTTCAAGGAAATGTTCCAGATCCAATAATGAAACGATTACCTGAACATCGTGTTAGAGGCGCGCAGACCTTTGAAATAAAAGGAATTGACTACGCTGGTTCTATATACTTAAAAGAGTGTAGCAAAGTTTGAGTAACTCTATATTAATGTGTCACTGGTTGCTCAGTATGGCCTGCACAAAAATAGAAAACGCTGAACAGGAAAAAAATAAACGAGACTCTCGTCGAACTATTCGGCACTGGGATTACTTCAGCAGGCGACAACAACTAGATTTACGAACAAAATTTAATTGTGTCTAACAGCTGTAATTAAACTATGTAAGCACATGTAACTTTATCATCTTACAATATCTTATCAAATTAAATAAATGCAAAAATCTCGTATTTTTATCTAATAATGAACTACATTGTATCTAACAACAAAGACGAACCATCCAGTCTTTCTGATAAACAAAAGTAATTACGCAAACTGAAATTATGTAGTGAAATACATCTGGAATTGGTCATTTCACCACTAGCGCATCCTTGACGAGTTTAAGACTTGCTGCAAGAAATTGTCAGCCGTCCATGATTTATTAGACAGATCATGGGACTGAGTTTGCTGGAGCTAATAGACTTGCCTTTGGATTTGAGTGGAGTAGGATCAAATGGGAAAAATAAATTCCAAGAATGAACTGCATACTGAATCCGTCTACAATGGTTGGTTGAGCATTTGGTAAAGACAATGAACAGTTGCTTGTATACGTTTACTTGGGTCGCCGATCTTGGACAACGAAAGAGACTATCTGGAGCTGAATATATTTCCAAAAACAAGACCTTAAGCAGACAAAAATCATTAAAGATACCTTGCAAAGATAACTAAAGGCTAAAATGGAAAACTAGGACCCCGAGGAAGATCGTACAGAGATTTTTTAGCAGTTCTGGTCACCATCAAAGAATATAGATCACAAATGTCAATTTGTTGCTTCATCTGTGCAGCAACTAGATGTTAAAAAGAGACGCGAAAGAACCGGCGAAAGGGCAAATAAAAGAAGTTACTTTAAAAAATTCTTCCACACTCAAAATAAACTTCAAGTAGAAGTATGCAAGGCCTTTCTTGAATATTTCTCAAACATTGGTAACAACAGCTTTAGCGAAGATAAGATGTGGAGGTATAGTTGAATCTGATAGGAGAGGAAAGAAGATAATACCGCCAAACAAGATATCAAACGAACCCAAGGATAGTATAAGGACATGAAATTTCCAACATTGGAATCACACTATAGTAGAGAAAGATCGTCGAAAAAATGTCTTGATAGCAGTTTAAATATATCCAAAATCTATGAACTGTATCAGCAATATATGTTAGAACGAAAGATGACTGAAGCAATACATATACAGTGAAATATTCAATAGTGAATTCAACTACTCCTTCAAACTTCCAAATAATGACGCTTGTGACAAATGTGATAGTTATCTCGATAGAAAGCAGATTCAAAAAGAGTATGATGACCATTTAAAGGAGGCCGACAAGAGGTATGAATTAAAGGCACAATATAAAGGAAAAGCGAAAGAAGAGCAGGATCAGGCACATTTGACTCCATCGATGTATCAGTATGTTCACCAGGTATACATACTAGCCTGAAATGGGAGGTGGAAGATGATCTACATCATAGTGACCATTTTCCCATTATTATCACAGTCAGGGGTCATAATCTTCCAATAAAAACGATAGCTAAATATAAAATCCAATTAGCAAATTGGGAACTCTTCACACAAGTCCTCGTCCCTCCTAATCAAGACAATCTAAATGTTAAAACCATTACCTCTTCCATCATAAACGCCGCTGACGCCAGCATATCTAAATCTAAACCTGGCAATAGGCGAAAGATGGTCCCGTGGTGGTCACCTGAAATCAAAGAAAAAATAGCATTAAAGAAAAAAGCTCTAAATAAATTTCGTCGAAATCCTACGTTGGAGAATCTTGTAGAGTTCAAAAAACGAAGATCTCAGTGTCGTAGGGGAATACTAGAAGCCCAAAGAATTTCATGGCAACATTATGTAACAACCATGACACCAGAGACTACCAGTAATGATGTCTGGAAGAAAGTCGGAGCTATATCTGGAAAAAACAGCTGCAGTTATCCGGTGTTTTTGCGCAATTCCGATGGAATAATTACCAATAAACTGCAAGACATAACTAACATAGTTGCAGATCAGTTCTATAAAGTCAGTAGCTCGTCAAACTATTCCAACACCTTTCTAGATACCAAACCTGAAAAAGAAGCAGTATTAATTGACTTTAACACAGATGATATACAGAACTGCAACGTACCTTTTACTGTAGAAGAATTGGAGGCAGCAATCCGTAACACCAAGTCATGTTCACCGGGAGAAGACGCTATCCATAACCAGATGCTTCGCTTCGCCACTGTAGTTCTGAAATGAAAAATACCATCTTAAGATTCTTCAACAACTGCTGGAATGATTCTACCTACCCCTCAGAATGGAAGCAAGCCATCGTAATTCTTATACCGAAACCAGGAAAAGATCCGTTGCAGGCACAAAGTTATCGCCCAATTAGTTTGACATCTTGCTTGGGAAAACTGCTAGAAAAAATGGTTAATGTGCGGCTACAAACATTTCTCGAAAGCATTAACGTATACGTGCCTTACCAAACTGGTTTTCGGAAAGGACGGTCAACGGTAGACCATCTGGTCAAACTGACAGACAGAATTCTGAGGGCATTTGACAGTGGTGAACATCTGGTTGCGGTCTTCTTCGATATAAAAGGTGCTTATGACATGACTTGGAGATATGGAATAATGCAAAATATGTATAAATACAATCTTCGAGGGAATTTACCTAAATTTATAAAATCCTTTTTAGAGGATAGGAAGTTCTGTGTAAGAATCGGCGATATCAACTCCAAAGAGTATGTTTTAGAAAATGGTGTGCCGCAGGGGTCAACACTCAGTTGTTCCCTGTTCGGCATCGCCATAAATGAAATAGCCAAAGGTGTTGAGGAGTCAATTGATAAATGCTTATACGTAGACGATTTAATGGTTTGTTCTTCTGGTAAGACGGTTGGCACAATAACTCGAAACCTACAAACGGCAATTAACATCATTTGTCATAACGCCAATGCTGTCGGGTACGTGCTGTCGGAGGAGAAGACAAAGGTTGTTCACTTTTGTCGACTCCGTAAGCCCCACTATGACCCCGTTTTGTTTATGAACAATCGTATAATCAGTGTTGTCCAAGAAGTCAAGTTCCTCGGACTTACCTTTGATAGGGGATTACGATGGTCAAAGCATTTGGAGAATGTTGCGGCTACATGTAGAAAATCGCTGAACATTATGAGAGTTCTAGCTCATCATAGGTGGGGAGCTCACCCTAAGACCCTCCTAGATATTTATAAGGCCCTCATCCTGTCAAGGATGGATTATGGATGTGCAGCGTACTCTACATGTGGCAGTAATACTTTGCTTGAGAAACTTGACAAGATTCAGAACCTGGCCATTCGCTACTCTTTGGGAGCATATCCAACAAGTCCGGTAACATCGCTCCACGTCGAGGCAAATATTCCCCCTCTAGCTCTACGCCGGAAACAGATTGTTGCAAACTATTATATAAAAGTAAGGATAGATGATAAACATCCAAATTTTATATCACTTACTGATGCAACTACAATTGCTCGGCTAAATAGATGTAGATCGTTAGGTGTTAGAGCTAGAGAGGTATTAAACTATCTCCAACTGGATAACGTTGACTTTACGAATATGTCATCTATTGCACGACGTGAACTTGTGAAGACGAAAATTTATGAGCGGTGGAGTGAACAGTGGTCGGAGACTGATACGGCTTTGAAGAAGATCAAACAGAGTCTGGATCCGCTATTTTATATCGACGTTGGGCGTTTGAACTTGATCAGGCTGTACAGACTCCGGCTGGGGCATACTGCCCTCACTCATGGATATTTGTTGGCGGGCGAAGAACGGCCACTATGCGAACAATGTGGTGTTATTTTAACACCACATCATATTATTTCTGTCTGTCCGCAGTACACAGATGTACGTGTGCTCTTTAATATCGACCCTGCATGGGAAAATAACTTTAAAAACAAAGAGCAATGTAAAAATACTCTTGCCTTCATCCAAAGAATTGGTATAGCAAATGATCTGTGATATTTTTAAATTGTTGGTTTTGTATGTTAATAAATGTAACTAGATCCGTTTCTGTCCCATTGTACTTATATAGTCATCTTTTTCTGTGTAAAAGTATGTATAAAGGCGAATGGCCCTAGAAGCCGAAGCCTCAGGTGGGGTTTTAGTGGGTGAGAGTCCCACACTACTCCGGACTTTTCCATCCGGAGTGTGCATAATGCATTTCCCCACCTGACACAAAAAAAAAAAAAAATAAACTGAAAGTTATAATGGTTGATCTAGAGAAATGTTCACCGGCATGCATTAATCGAAAGGGAAATGATAAGCTCAAATTATTCCTTTGTGCTTCGTATAATGTGACTTTCTGTAAACTTTTGAATTTGTGACTTGGTATATACTTTACCTCTGAGGTACAGACATAGGTATGTGGTGATCATAATAATCCAACCAATTTATAAGTACGTAAATACTAAATTGGCATCCTGATAAGCTGATCATAATCATTTTCTCTATAAGCCCAAAATGTTGAGCAGTATGCAGAGTTGTTTAAATATAAACACAAATTCAAGCGTAAGTGTAAACATAATTCGCTCTTTATCTATTAGAAATTAAATCCGCTTCTATAAAGTTAAACTATACCGTCCAGATTAATACCCCGAAGGAACTGTCAAAATGTTACACAGCGTAATTAGCATGGACATGCTAAGAATCGATGATTGATAATATCCCCACTTCATTTGTATTTTATTTTGCTTGTTCTGAGCGTCTGTACACATTGTTCATAAGATCGTTGCAATCGTGCAATTTATGTGACGTCACAGTTTCCAAATTGTTCAGGGGAAAAAATGATTATAAACCATTCCACCTGTACGGATTCGTTGGATGTGGGCGATGATTCTAATTATAGTGACATTTTTGTGTGGTGCTTTATGTAATACCTGATTTAATATAATTTCTAGCTTCTGAGTAAAAGATATTAAAGTAAAAAGTTTTTTATGAAAGTAACTTTTAAAGTGGTGCTACTCAGGAGATAAAAATGAAATTTACGTTCACATAAACAACCTTTTTAAAGATTGTACGTATTAAAAGTTTGATGTCCTTGTTGTATAAAAAAACGAAACAAGTTTCAAACAATGACGAGCAACAGCACACCAATAATGCTCTCAAGCAATTATACTCCTGACATTTTTCTAAAAGTGGGTGTTTTCCTGCAATGGAATATGTATTGTGACTAGTTAAATGTGCCTAAGACCGTCTCGATATTGATATTGACATAGAGTATTATTACTTTATGATATTGACTTAGCTAGTTAGTTGCAAGCGGTTTTTGTTATGTTATAACGGCCAGAGATTCGTCGTTATTCCAAGGTTCTGATTTCCGGGTGTCACCTAATCCTCCCTTTTAAATTTGGGGTTACTTTCGAGGAAATAGTACCCTGTAATTTGAGTGGAAATTTACTTCGTGTAAGGCATCAGTACGTCCATGTACGCCGGTCGGCAAATATTTCAATGCTATTTAATTATGCATGTGAAAATATACAAAATAAAGAGAGACTGTACTTGAGGTTAACTAAATACGATACTGTAGGAGAGCTGGTAGACATTTTTGGGTAGGTATTTGAGGCACGCTGAAAACTTGTCCAATACTTCTCCAATAATACCCAAACACAAAAATGCGGACTTGGCTGGAGAGAAGCGGGGCTAAGTCAACCCTTTATATTTTAAAGATGCGAATTTTTTTTTCAAAAAATACTCTTGAGGCACTTTGAAATTATTATTACTTATAAATTTAATATTTCAAGAGCAGAAAAATAAGTATGCCAGTCCATTTAGTGGGGTCTTAGGCGCTTGCAAAGTTTGAAAGAATATATACTGGCCGTCATATACACCCAGTGTACTTTGATCACTTTTGCTTAAAGTTTCAGGACAATTGTCTTTATTTCGCATTCTCATACTCGACGGAGCATCCTTGAAATTAACGAATCGATGCTGTCCTAAGATTCTAAAAGACGCATGTGAAGATCATCTAAGCTGTTTCCAGGTAAATCATTTAGCCATCGACCCATCATACCCCACTCGTACTCAATTGGTGACAGATGCAACAAATCATATGGAGACTTGAAAACAACAGAACAATAGTTTTCAACTAGTTAAGAGTCAGCGGTTCTCAATAGAAGATACATACACCAGATACCTAATTACATTAAATGAGATTTAATGAATCTGGTGTATGATCTTCTATTGAGAACCGCTGACTCTTAAGTAGTTGAAAACTATTGTTCTATTGTTTTCAAGTCTCCATAAAATTTGTTTTGAGCAACTTTCGCCAGTATGGAACGGGTTTTTACATTGCATTTCAGGTGCATATTGAATACAACTATCGGTCGCGTTATAAACGGCTTTTGATTTACCACTTAATGACTTATGTAATACTGGAAAATGTACAGACTATAGACAACATTGTTAGTTTTGTTTTCTGACGTGTAGATAAATAAAGTTGAAAGAAGACCATCCTGGTATTTCTTATATATATAGTAAAATATTATAAAAGTTGAAGCCTATTATATGCAGATCGACATTATTGACTGACGAGGTGCTATTCAATCCTTTTTTGTCTATACCTTTTCTTTGCAAGCAACATATTTAACACGCTATAATATTTATTACGCAACTTTGGTAAACTTCATTTATTAGTGACATAGTAAACACTGTCGGTAAGTAGAATTATGTTGTTGCGAGTCCCTTTGTATTTCACTCAATCCCATCGAATGCAATTAATTTGCAAACTAATATGTTATTCGAAAATGTCATAGTCCATCGAGTACTATAATATCCCTAATGGCTTTAATATTATGCCTTAGAGCAAGAAATGCAGGTATCAATAACATAACTTCACTGTGTAATGATAGGTATCCTCTATGGAATTTCATACGCATTGGAAGCGGAACTGCAAGTGGATATATCGACGTTAAAATGCCGTAACGTATGGGGTAAAGTTATTTGTATGAATGTAGTTTATCCTCCTATAGTAAGCAAGGTGA